TTCCCAAAAAGAACATCTCTCCTCACTCTGGCTTGGATGTTGAGGAGAAGAATCTTGCAATTCTACTTGAGAAATCATCACTCTCTCGCCACATCCTGTAAGAAATAGCAAGGGTAACTCTGAGAATTGGGTCTACATTCTAAAATATTTTACCATTCCTAGCCTTCCAGATATGTCATAGTAATAGAAAAGAGAAAGGAAGCAGTTCATCTTTTTTGTCTCTGTCTTTTAAGCACAAGTCCAACCAAGTTGAGAGCCATTGATTGAAAAAAGTAAAAGGTCTACCCCTTAATCCCAGAAAATTCATGTGGGAACCAAACCAAGTTGCATTGGCATGTTCACAATCAAATAAGCAATGTATAAGATTAGACAAATGCTATTATTAGAAAGTTTTCTTTTATATAGGTTTTCTTTCACTGCTAGAGCATTTTGTAAGCATTTTCAAATAAAGTTTCTTATTTTTGGGTCAATTTTTGCTTTCCAAACTTTAGTCCATTGCTTTTTCCCTATATCTACTACAATGACAGGGTTTGTGGTCTCAATGGTTGGCTTACTACTATTTGATACTAGGGCATAGTACCTAGTTCTAACAATATATAGTCGTTTCGGATGATAGGTCCATTTAAGTTTATCTTCCCAGTTTCCTCTAGCTAAATTTACACCCATAATGTTTTTAGCAATAGCCTCCTCAAAATTTTCTTCAACCAATTTTGTCTTCCATTGTCTACTATTCTCTACCATGATGTCTTTAACCCATATCATATTTGGGTTATTTGGCCTAGGCCCCATAATTCTAAAAGACTCAATCTGGTTTAACCATGGGGTCATCCCATATTCTAATTTTAGTACCAGAATTTACAGCCCAACAAGTTCCTTTTTGGAGGACCTCTCTTGCTACTACCATACTTTGCCTTTCCCAAGAACCCCTAGTAGGCAATCTATCAGTTAGGAAGTTTATTCTCTTTAAGTATTTGGCTTTTATAATCTTAACCCATAGGTTATTTTTTTCATTGCATAATCTCCAAGCTTGCTTTGCTAACAAAGCCAAGTTAAAATTATATGGATCCCTAAATCCCAACCCTCCTGCACACTTATTTTTGTTGAGAACCTCCCAACAGACCTAGTGTGTTTTCCTCTGTTCTTTTGTTCCCCCCCACCAAAACTTAGTTTGGATTTTTTTAGTTCATTACACACTTCCTTTGGAAGGAGAAAACAGAACATTGTGTAGTTTGGGATTGCACTAGCCACTACTTTAATCAAAACTTCTTTCCCAGCTTGAGATAGTAGGGATTCATGCCATTTAGAGAACAATTTTCCAAATCTTTCAATTAAGAAATTGAAGAGGGTTTTCTTTGATTTACAAATCTTTGTGGGAAGCCCTAAATATATAGAAGGAGATTCTATTCTTTTCATTTTTAGAAATCTTGCCAATAGCCTTTGCAGTTTATGATGCAAATTTCTACTGAAAAAAAACTTCTGATTTAGAGAAATTTACCTGCTTCCCTGAGGCTTCTTCATAAGATTTGAGAGCATCCAATATACTTTGCCCTTCCCCCATCTTTGCTTTAGAAAATATGTAACTATCATCTACAAAAAAAACAAGTGAGAGACAATTGGACAATTTCTGATAATTGAAATGCCATTTATTTTCTTTTGAATAGCAAGCTCTGTAAGATTTGTAAACAAAGTTTAAGAACAAAGTAAAAAGAGATAGGAGGACAGAGGATCTCCCTACCTCAACCCCCTTTCAGGTTGGCTTTTAAAACCTCAAAAAGAACTACTCTTTAGATACTTTCTTTTAATAATGAATCCAAAAGGGCAAATCAGCTCACGCACGGTTTATTCAATGTGACTACACCCATGAATCTTTGGGGTGATCCAATGGGTTCTCACTAAATAGACAATGAACAATCTAATGTGTTCATCATTTATTGGCTTGAAAATAGAAAATATCACCATTTTTTTACAATGTTTTAGCTGTCTGATTTTTTGAGCCAACGAATAAGCCCTTTTCTTTTTATAAATATATGAAAATAATTTCTGTTCTTTGCTTGGTGGAGTGAAGGATTTGTACATGCTTGCATTACTCTCCAGTCGGAGGCCGCTTTTGGGTGGCCATGGTCATCCTATCAGGATACCTGTTTGTGTTTGAACTCAAAGAAGGAACGCTAGCAATAATAAATCTAATTTCTTTTTGTCTTTTTGGCTCGTATTGTTTGWGTTTGGAATTTGGAACTTGTTTTAGTTTGTCACATCATACAAAGTTCTAAATATCGATACGGGCCGATACGTTGTGACCTGTGTTGGTATTTTTTCTTTTGTGTTTTACTTTTTTTTTTTCGAAATTGATTAGAGAGATTGGTTTAAAGCGCGACTATCCTCTGAACCAATGGCTGACCCAATACAATTCTTATAAAAAACATATTAAAAACCCATCAGCACCATACATATCGACTGATACGTATAAATACTTTGAACCTTTTATCATTTATCCAATCCGGGCACTTGCTGCTTTGTCTTAGTTTTTGTTGATTATATAGCCAGATGATATTTGATAAAGTGATATGGGACATAGCAATTAGGGCTGTTCACGGGTTGGGTTGGGTCGGTTTACTGTGGTTTTTCCAACCGATCCGACTTGGTCGGGTTACCTGACATAGAAACCGAAACCGACCCAATGTTAAGCAAAACCGACCTGGTCGGTTTGAGTCGGGTTGGGTCGGTTTCGGTTCTAAGTTCATCCCTGTGATAAAATCTTGCTAATTTTAAAAACAGTCATAAATTGAACATCATTTCAGCAATCTCCTATGATAAAATTTAAATGAAAAGTTAATCACAAAAATTGTTCATTAATCACTATTCACTAATCCAAAGTTTCTTGCAACCATTCAAAAACTAAGTGGCCTAATGAGCTTTGGAACTTCATGTTTGAACTAGGAACTAAGTCGGTTCAGTTCGGGTCGATTTCGGTTTTCTTGTGTGAAAACCGAAACCGACCCAAATCATCGGTTTAAGAATTTGCACAACCCGAAACCGAGCCGTGCTGATGAAAACCCGATCGACTCGGGTTGGTCGATTTGGTCGGGTTGGGCCTTCTTATGAACAGCCCTAATAGCAATCAACCCAATATGTATGATTTTATTCTTTTTTTTTTTTAACGACAAAACAACTGCCAGGTTAGAAGAAAAAGAAAACAATCAATCGGTGTTTTATCTAGTATTAATTTTAAACCCCTTCCTCAAGCTTCAACCGTTTTTCTCTCTGATCAAATGAGTCAGTGCCTCAGTAGTTCAATTGTCTGGATCAACCGGTCAACCTGTGATGCCATCAATATAAAATTTAAAAATAAAATAAAATAATACAGTAGCCTGCAAGAACTCACATTGAATGGGTCAGATGGGTCAATTGTTCAATCGTCCCGATTAATAGATTATTGACCAAGTTTATTAGGGGTGTTGTTCGATTAACTATGGCCCATGGGCATTTATTTCAAATCAAACCAATTCTTTGATTTTTGCAATGTCCTGAAACTGAACCAAATCAATCAGTTAACCTGGTTTTTATATTTATAATATGCATTATAAAAAAAATGCATAAATATATAATATTATATTAGCTCATTTAACTAACGTGGTTTGTTTAGGTTAATCAAGACCGAACATACTGATTGGTTAACCGGATTTTTCAGTCCGATTTTTTTATTTTGTTGAGCACTCCTAGAATTAATAGGTTGGGTGTTGAGTCGAATTAGAAGTGTGAATGACATTGTTTTGAAAACCAGATCGGAGCGGGTGGTTGGACCAGTTGACAGGAGATTAGTTCTATTTCACCCTAAAACTGTTTTTTGGTCAAAGCCATTGATTTGGTCAGTGGCCAGTGCGATCCAGATAATGGTTTTGGCCTCATTTTATTTATTTATTTAACTTAGAGTGGATTATTCATTTAAACTGTACGATCTAATCATTTGACCTGTGAATCGGTCTTAGAACGGTTCCATGTTCAGTCCGGTTTTAAAAACCTTGTATGAATATATTAGTGGTCTGACCTTCACGATCAATGACGGATTGATAATGCTGGTTTTTTCTAATTTGACCTTCACATATGGTAAAGCATGTATCCAGTTCAGTCACAATGTTTGCCAAAGACTCACCCTCATGTAGCGGTGTCAATTGGACTGGATTTGGTCTAATTCGGTCCAGTCCAATGTTATTACAAATGGACCTGGTCCAATCCAATCCAATGAATATTTTGGACCATTTTGAATTGGTCTAGAGACTGTCCAATCTGTTCATTATTTTAGATTGGTTTCAACTCAAACCTGATCCATTGACACCTATGTTCTTATCTTCTATCAATGGATCAAATATTGGCTCAATCCAATATAAATTCATTATGGACAAACCAGGTCCAACCCAATATGTCATATTGGTCCATCCAGTCCATCCAAATTTAATATGTCTTATTGGTTCGTCCACTCCATCCAAATGAACTTTGATTTAGATGGATTCAACCCAAAACCGGTCCATTGACACCCCTACCCTCATGACACCAATGGATTATCTTCCAGTACTCACCCCAAAAGGCTGCAACTCAAATATACCTGCCAAAATATTTATTCTATTAACATGGAAACATTATAGAAAGTGCAAAAAGCCCATAGGTCTTGAGGGCCTAGAAGTATCAAAGCTAGCTACTTGTGAACCAGAAAATCCACCAACCAAATTTCCTGGATGGAGGGTTGTAGCCAATTGAAAATGGCAAATCTCCAGAGCTTAATAGCTTTAACATCGAGGATTATCACAGTGGTTGATATGCTGTACTTTATGTAATATGCAAGGCAACTTAGGCCAAATTTGTAGTATTCTACTCACAATCTTCTTCTTCAAGAATCCCCCGTTCACCTAACTAATTAAAACGACATGGAAGCAAAGCCGCCCTCATGTCTTTATAAGGATGTGCTGGTCAGTCATAGCCAGACTACAGCGAGAAGAGCTAGAGGAAAAAAGTGAAAGAGCAAGAAGAGAGAAGAGACATAGATTAAAGAAAGAATAATGGTGTCCTGGGTTCGGCTCTTGCTACTAGTGGCCTTCCTGCTTCCTGCACTCGTTGAATGCAGGATTCGTCACTACAAGTTCAATGTAAGTATAATTTTTGACCAGTTCCTCTTGGCATCAAAGTTGAATGGTACATTACAGCTTGAGCTTGGTTTAGAATAGCTATTTTGAATAGGCATAGCTATTCCATTTCCAGTTGTTTGGTTAATCATGGCAAAATAGGAATCCCATTCTCATTCCTGTTAGAATGACATTCTCCCATTTGAGAGAATGGCCATTCTCGGCCCCTCCCTTAAGAATGAAATCTCATTCATTATTATTATAATTTCTATTCCGATTCTTATCTGAATCAAACAGATTATGGGAATAAGTTATCCATAATCAAACAGATTATGGATATAGATATGTTCCACCTCAAAACTTGTTTTTTTCTTTTTTAATTTTTTTGGTTTAGAGTTAGCAAGAGCTAAGGGGCTGTTGCTTGGTGTAATGAGAAAATTTAATGCTGCAGATGGACAAGTGTGAGAGTAGTAAAAACTCATAAATGTTTAATTTTTTTTTTTTTTTTTTTGGGGGGGGGGGTGTCACTTTCTTTGCTGAATAGATATGTTTAATTAGAAGAAGTGTTTCTTCTGTCAAACAATAAGATCTCATTCAAATAAAAATGGAATTGAAAAAGGAAAGCAGTTTCTTCTAATCAGAATTGTTTTTTCTTGGATTTCAAGTTATAATAGATTAATTTTTTTTCTGGGCTTTGTGGTTAAGGAGTTAGGTCCAAACGTTATAGAGAAGAAATTAAGTAATGGAAGGGTAAGCTCGCAGATGATATTAACGATTAATTACCAGCTGCCTCTGCGTATACAGCACAAGTGTTTCAAGCAGTACTGAATTAATTCTAATGAAGTTTCATGGGTGACAACTGACAAAGAATTAATGAATCATGGATATGGTTGGTTTAATTTCTGCAGGTGGTGATGAAGAACACAACGAGGCTCTGCTCAACCAAGCCCATCGTCACAGTGAACGGGCGGTTCCCAGGACCCACTCTCTATGCCAGGGAAGATGATACCGTGCTCGTCAAGGTCGTCAACCATGTCCAGTACAACGTTACCATCCACTGGTAAGCCCAAATGACTACTTTGCTACCTACATTTTTTCATAATCCCTAGAGAAATTCGAATTTCTGTTAAAAAGTCAGAAGGGCAACATGGTCATTCTACTCGGTAAAATGACTGTTTTGTTTGTTTGTTTGTTTTTTTTCCACCTTCCCTTTCATCCTTTTGGGTTGGGTAAGCACTAAGCAAGCTAGCTTACTCATCAACCTTGACAAACTGACATTTTGATCAAGCACATATAAGAGGCAAAAGTAGTCTTAAGTCTGGATTGATAATAAAAAATAAAAATAGCTAAAAGTGGAGAAAAACAAACACTGATTAGTCTCTGTAAATTATGTATGGCAGGCATGGCATCCGGCAGCTTCGCACAGGCTGGGCAGATGGGCCGGCCTACATCACACAGTGCCCCATACAGCCAGGCCAAAGCTACGTCTACAACTTCACCATTACGGGCCAAAGAGGCACGCTTCTGTGGCATGCGCATATCCTCTGGCTAAGGGCTACTCTCCATGGTGCCATCGTTATCTTGCCCAAGCATGGCGTTCCTTATCCATTCCCCACACCCCACAAGGAAGTGGTCGTCATCTTAGGTGCGATTTAAAGACCTCATCAATAATATTCTCTAATTAATTCAGGTGCAGTTTGGCAAGTTTTTTTGAAAGATCTTCTTAACAAGTAATTCGGTCTATCGGATTATTATTTTTTTTTAAAAAAGCATTTAGAGATTATTTATCACATGGAAATATCAGAAAGCTTCATTTGAAGCTCTTTAGATTTCCTGAAATTTGGTGTTCTTTTCGAGTCTTTTGCACATACATCTTATGGTCTTACTTACGAAGGAACAAAAATCCCAAAGCTCCTCGTAGGAACAAGGTTCAAGTCTATATTGGTCTGGTAGGATGCCTCAGCTGCATACATCACTGCACTTCCACTTGATACCTATCGTAATGATAAACGGATCGTCTCGTCGTAATCTTTTCTTGGATTCTCAGAACTTCTGTTTTTCCATCCCCGCAGGGGCAGAGAACCCGTCGCTGTCTCGGCTGAAAAAATGCCGATTTTCGGTCTTTCCTTACGTTGATAGACTTCCTACTCTCACTTTCTCTTCCTATACCTTATCCATTAAGGTTCGAAAAACTGACCTGGAACTAGAACCATTTTGGCGACCGATTTTTGAATCAGCAGTTCGATTGTCTGATTCAAACGGGTCAATGGTTTGATCACCTGGATCAATAGGTCACTGACCAAGTCAACGATTTTTGGTCAAAAAGCAGGAAAACCAGATGCATAGCCTGGGCGGTTCCTAAGTCGAATAGTTCAAAAACACTGCTACCCACAGTACATTGCGATCGCGCATCTCACAACAGAAAATGGCGATGTGGCTGCAATTCAAGGCGGGTAGAGTGTGGGTAGAGATTAAATGGACACGAAATTCGGTTTTGCTTCCAAACTTTGTCAAAACAGAACGAAAATTAAAAGACGGCACAGAGAGATTTGCCAAACGCCGACTCAATACTTTCTTCACAAAGGTGTAGATTAGAGGTTGTTATTTTTGACTTGATTCTTGGAAAATTGTAGGTGAGTGGTGGAAGTCCGACGTTGAAGCTGTGATCAATGAGGCTCTCAATTCTGGTCTGGCACCAAATGTTTCAGACGCACACACAATTAATGGCCAACCAGGGCCAGTCCCTACCTGCCCTTCACAGAGTATATACTTGCTACTAGTGAAAATGATCTCCGATTCTTTTTCATTTATCAGAAGTCTCAACAGTAGTTAATTTCCTTTCTAATTATCATGCGCAGGTGGATTCAATTTGAAGGTAGAGCCTGGCAAGACATACATGCTACGCATCATCAATGCTGCACTGAATGAAGAGCTCTTCTTCAAGATCGCCGGACACAAGCTGACGGTCGTCGAGGTTGATGCCGTCTACACCAAGCCTTTCAAGACCGATACCATAGTCATCGCCCCCGGCCAGACCACAAACGTCCTCCTGGAAACGGGCCGCGGCTCCGGGAAGTACTTAGTTGCTGCCTCCCCTTTCATGGACTCGCCTATTGCCGTCGACAACATGACTGCAACCGCCACCTTACACTACTCTGGCACCCTTGCTACATCGGCGACCACTCTCACCAATCCTCCTCCTCAGAATGCCACCCCTGTAGCATCCAACTTCATCGACTCACTCCGTAGCTTGAATTCGAAGGAGTATCCCGTCAAAGTCCCACTGACCGTGGATCACTCTCTTCTGTTCACCGTTGGCCTCGGCGTCAACCCATGCTCCACCTGTCCTAATGGGATCCGAGTAATTGCAGACATCAATAACGTAAGCTTCGTCATGCCGACCACCGCGCTGCTCCAGGCACATTACCTCAACATAAGCGGAGTGTTCACCGATGATTTCCCTGCCAACCCACCCATATCGTTCAATTACACGGGCACCCAGCCGGCCAACTTACAGACTATGAACGGGACAAAGCTTTACAGGCTGCGTTACAACGATACAGTACAGCTTGTGTTGCAGGACACAGGGATGATAGCCCCAGAGAACCATCCCGTCCATCTGCATGGCTTCAATTTCTTCGCAGTCGGAAGGGGATTGGGAAACTACAATCCGAAGACAGATCCTGCCAAATTCAACCTCGTCGACCCCATCGAGAGGAACACCATCGGAGTACCGTCAGGTGGTTGGACTGTCATCAGATTCAGAGCCGATAACCCAGGTAAAGAAATTAATTAACAATTCATGACTCTGTGTAATCAATTACATACATCATCATCATCTCATTCTTAACTATTACTTCTATTCTCGATCAATTTGTAGGTGTTTGGTTCATGCATTGTCATCTGGAAGTGCACACGACGTGGGGTCTGAAGATGGCATTCGTGGTGGACAACGGAAAAGGCCCCAATGAATCCCTGTTGCCACCTCCAAGCGACCTACCCAAATGCTAAGCAAGCCGAAGGCTTCACATACAGTTCTATTGTTTTGACAAGTCTTCAGTAGGGGAAGAAAAGGAAGAAGGATTAAAGGTGTTGATGAAGAGGTAGAAGATGAAGGAATTAAAGGTGTTGATGCCTGGTTTATTCCCCCTCAGGTTCAATGGAGGAGCTGCTTAGGCCGAGTTTGAATAATAAAACCAAGAAACCTTTTTTTTTTTTTTTGTATAATGTTTTCATATTCACAAGATTGCAATGTGTATTTATGTATCCATCAACTGAAACTTTCCAAGTGAAAAAGTATCTTCACAACTTTTCAATATATTGGATATTCAGCTTTATCCTGATCAAGTTGGGGGAAAAAGTTCTTATAGCGATGAAAAATTCAGAAAAGTTCATTTTTAGTAAAACGTGAAAATATTTGGGTAAAAGACTTAAACCTCCCCTGTGTTTCTTCTAAATACTTATACCTCCCTTGTAATTTCTCAAAGGACTTCAACCTCCCAGGCTCCCATGTGAAATGATGTCACCAGGACAAATAAGACCCCTCTCTTATCTATCTTCCTTATTCCGTTTGACTTAACAGTCATATGTCTTATATATTTAATTTTTTTTCAAAACTTCACTTTTTCCCTTTAACAAATTATAAAAATAGTTAAATAAAAAAACTCAAAAACAGTTGGGTTTGAGGCGGTTAGTGGCGGAAAGAAAGAGACCACCACCCAGGTAGAATGAAGCCTAAACTCAACCCGGAAAGAGGAAGTGAGAGAAAGAGACTTGCAGAGAACACAGCCATGGCTTTGTCGACGTTGTGGTCCTTCTTGAATCCATCAAAGAATTGGTTCGCTGCACATGAAATCCCTCTTCAAACGTCTCAGGAAAAACGGTCGAGCTTCAATATAATGACCTCTATGACCCGATGTACGATCTGGACATCAAGGAAGCTTTGGCTCGCCTTCCTCGCGAGATTGTCGATGCGAGGAACCAGCGTCTCAAGCGCGCCATGGATCTCTCGATGAAGCACGAGTACCTTCACGAAGATTGTAGGCAATGAGACACCATTTAGGAGCTACCTTTGGGGGCATTGCCTCTCTATCAGCGCACCATCCTTTGATTGTACTGTTATTTATATCTCGGTTGTTACTTGCTGAGTACATCTTTAAAAGAAATAAGGACACTATTATTCTATTGGAATCTTTAAAGAGGACCATGAAAGCTGAGAGTTTTGGTTTGTTTTATCTACATGCAGATCCTTTGCTTTTGTGGATCGATGCTTCACTTTGAAAATTAGAAACACAATAAAGGGCAAAAGTGTCTTTTTATGAATTCTGTCAAATAAAGTTTATGTCCAATTAGAAAACACAGGGGAAGTATAAGTATTTATGAGCAAACTTGGGGAGGTTTAAGTCTTTTAGTTGGTAAAAAATAAAACTTATCTCTTTTTTTAATTTTATCTCTTCCATTAACTAATTCCCGGTAGTTCCACGGTCAAAATTAAAGGAGGTATAAGGTAATACTTAAACTTGAGGGGATGTCCAAATATTTGATTGAAATTTTGAAATCCCTAAGTCTTCGTTTGTTGTGATATAAATGCCGAACCGGGATTTATGTAATCAAGTTTGGATTTGTAAGCATTTGTTTTATATGAAAAATACAATGATTAAGAGGACAAAAATGTATTTTCTTACAATTTTGTATCCTAAGGAGAGGATTGAGGTGTAAAACATGCCATGCTGAACCGTGTTTCCCTCTTTTGGGATATTTTGGGGGGTTGGCCCGGCATGGCCAATGAATGGAGTCCGTGTGGGTTTATGCTGGGTCGGGCTGGTCTATGGACCATGCCTTGGGCCAGGTTGGGCCATAGACCGGGCCAAAGTTATTTATTTAAAAAATTGAACAAAAAACTTAAAATTTTAATTTTATATGAATATTGAATTTTTGATGTATATAATTGCTTATATATACAATAATCAAATAAAATAGTATAATAAAATTGAAAAAATTGTTTATTTTATTAATATATTATATTCTATATATTATAATTATATATAAATATTATATATTTATATATAAATATATATAATATATATGGGCCATGTTGAGCCATGCCACGGGTTGGGTCGGGTTATACCAACCCGCCAGCCATGAGCAGCACGTTACAGCAGTACAAGCCATGCCGGCCCGGTCCATTAACGTGAAACCCCAAGCCCGACACAATCCATTGGCCCATACAATCATGTTTATAATGCTAAATTAGGGTTGCATTTCAAAAGAGACGATGTTCCCTAAACAGAATATAAACACAATTAAAAAAAAATGAAAGGTGAAAATTCTAAAAAATAAAAAATTCAAATTATTCTATTATTAAATTCATTAAACATTTAAACATGGTTTTCGTTAATTCCCAAATAATACGGATATTATAAGTATGAATGTGACTTAAAGGAGTCGCACCACATTTGAAGTCATTTTCAAGTACAATTCAGAGCTGGCAAAGTATGACTTTTGCGAGATCAAATCAGCCCCACATGATTGTCCCCCACACCGGTCTCAATACACAGGGGATGTGTTGTGAGCCGTTAGGAGAAGCTGATTTGAACTCGATTTTTGCATATTTAAATCTTGTATCACTGACACATTAGAAGGGACTTAGGGATGGAGCAGGGTGCACGTGAGACACACCGAGCAGCCAGATAAGGAGAGCCTCAATTTCCATGTGTTTGAATGTGAGTATGTGACATCTCTCCCTTTTCTGAGCCCAGAAAGACATTTTCACTCTAGCCCAGCCCGCTCGACCCGGACCTGCATTAAGCCTTCACACAATGTGGGTCAGGTCTGGGCCAAGCAAGCCAGACCTGGAAATTGGTATATATATCTTTTATATATAGTACAATATCTTCCATATTTAGTATACATCATAGTATATATTAGTATCTTAGTATCTTACATATAAGTTACGATTTTTACTAAACAAGTAAATATATATTGCATATGTATATGGGATTCAATCCCAAGCCTTTGCTACAACCAGCAATAGCCTTTACTATATTAATATATACATAATAAATTTTTAGATCTTTTTTGTAATATTGATTATAAAGTTTAATTAAAAGTTTGACATTTTTAAATATAAATACTATTAGGGGGATGTTCTTTTTTTGGATTTTGAGAGGGGGAGGGGGGGGATCCCATTGACCAAGAACCCCATGTTCTTTTTTCAACTTTATGTGAGAATCAGGGAAAATTTATTTTCTTGGATATCACTTACTCAGGAAAGTGATACCATCTCCTAGGTGGGTAAATAATTTTCCCACACAAGGGGAAGATTCCCAACACTTGAATGGGACAAAAATACCCCTTTTAATAATGGATTTCTATGACTAAAATGTCATTGCCTTATTTACCTGGGAAATAAAAGAACATGGGTAAATGCACTTACCCAAGTAAGTGTTTCCCAGGAAAAATTTACCTAGGTAATTGCATTTACCTGGGTAAATAACTTACTGAAAAGGGAACGTGGCCTTAATTCATAATGTGCTAGCCTGGGGACAGCCCTAGACATGTATCATCAAGCCCAAGGTGTAGGCTAGGCCAGGCCCAAGTAGACCTCAAGGTCATTAATACTTGCAAAAACCCAGCCCATGATCATCCTTAGTTAATCAATACAATTTGGCATATAACTGTTATTTGTGGTTATTTATAGTTGAAACAGATATACCTTAATTGACGTTTCTTGCTCTAACAAGGTAAAATCTAACCATTTTAGCTGAATTGATTCTCATACGTTATGTGACAACATACATCTCTCACCAATTTGTATGGATCAACCTAAAACCTTTTCCAACTAGAAACAGCAATGATATCGATCACAACCCAAAAAAGTAGCCATTTTCTGTTCTGATAATTTGCTTATTATGGATAGAAAAATTTAACCCTCTAGGCTCCACTTGAAAAGAAATATATCTCACTGGTAGGATCAATTCGAACCATTCACATTAGGGTAATATTCATCAATTATTGTCCTTTCTTTATTCTTAGGGTTGTGTTTGGTTTGACAGAAAAATATGAGAGAAACAGAAAGCTGAACGAAAATTCTTTTAAGTAAATATGTTAAATATTTAAGAATTTTCCCTCAACTTTCTTTATTTCTTATTTAATATCAAGCCAAATATAGCCTTAAAGGTGTTTCATTTATACACTACTTTTGTTTTCCTGTTCTTTCAAAAATAACTAGTAGGGGACCTATAAGATGCATGGGAAAACCCAATGTCTAATTTGCTGGTAAAAAGGATCAAAAGGATATATTGAATGTCGACTGTTGGTAAATTTCCAAAAGTATATATACTAAATTATTGATTTTTTAAACATATTAAGTAATTTATTTTCTTTTTAAATATAGTATTTACAAAATTACACTAACTTATCTTTTATTTTTCAATATAAGTTAATTAATAATTTCCTTTTCTATAATTTTCCAATATTATACTAATTTATATTAATAACATAAATAATTTGTGTAATTATTGGTTCAAATTACCGTTTTCCTTTACCAATACTAATTTATCTTTAATAATTTAAAATGAAAATCACACAATTTTTAAATAATTTTCCAAAATCTATCAAATGTAATAGAGTTTCTCAAATTTCCAAAATAGTCCAATAATTTTCAATAATTATTTACTACATTTTAAATAAATTTTCCAAAATTACATTAATATATTTTTTATTTTCTTCTCCAAAATTTTCCAAAATTATGATATTTTGTTTGCTAATTTGCAAACTCCACCAACTCTTTCCTGGGACTATAATTGTTGGCTTTATTTTTCAATTTTAATTAATTTTATAAAGAAATTATTGGTTGAAAATTTTGTATATTCATTGATTTCTAGTAATTCTTCTGGAAAATAACACAATTTAATTGTTAGTGTAATAAAATTAATTTTAAGAAATTGTAACTATAGTAAAATATTTATTATAATGATTATTTAATTACTACACCAAAATTCCAATAATAATTATTTTGAAAAAATAACTAATTTCACTAAACTAATAATTATTATTGGAATTACAGTTATTTCAAAATTACTATAATTACAGTATTTTGAAAATAAAAAATTTTACTATAATAATTAATGTAACTTAATCATTATTATTACACTAATAATAAAATTACACTAATAAAATTACATTAATAAATTTCTGAAAATGTAAATTCCAATGATAATTAACACTGTAATTATTATCAGCGATAGAATTCCAATAATAATTATTGTTATAAATTTCCGTAAAATAATAATTTACACTAAAATTTCAAAGATAATTATTTCTGTAATAAAGTTAATATG